TCCAAAACACCGTAAAAACCGTGGCGAAAGAAAAACCCAAATTCTTTGTCGGTGCTCCAACGTGCCAAAACTCGAGTTTTGGCACATGCCTGCCCCGAATTTGCACCACCCCGCGCGGCGGCAGACGCACGTGCTGCCAACAACAACAACAACAACAACAACAGGAACAGGAACGGGAACGGGAACGGGAACAGGAACAGCAACCTAACCGGAGCCACATTGCTTCTGCGACTCCTCCCACGTCTCCTACTGCTATCACTACCTCCACACATCTCAACGCGACCAGGAGGAATAATCACATTCCACATCAGCATCAGCATCATCAATATCAACCAGCAGCTTTGTTGGTAGTATTACGTCCGCTACATCAGAAACCCTCATCGCCATAGTACTTCCAGCAAACATCGCTAAAGCAACTGCCAGACCGTTTCCCGTTTGGGGTTGAAAACGTCGACTGAACTTCAACCAATTTGCAGACGGCGGGGGCGGCAAAGCAAACCACTGCTCGAAGTTCTCCAGGGAGTTGAAGGCGCCCGGAGCCACGAAGGACAAGAGGCTCCACAGTTCTCCTGCAGCAGTCCAACGATATCACACGGGTTTCGGGTTCAGCATGCCCTTGTTTTGATGCGCCACCTCAAGCCAAGCTAGCAACTTTCAAGCGCGGTTTCTGCTGCAGCTCGACTTCTTCAAACTGGAGGTCGCGAAGTTGCAGCGTCGGAACTCGGACAAGATCTTGCAATGCATCAGCAGTCCACAGCGGCTCTAGCTGGAAGCCCTTAAACTATGCCCGAGCCCTCTATTCCATGGGTTCCCGACCGAAAGTGCCACGGAGCCAGTGGACTGCTGGTGTTTGGTCAAGGTCCCGGAAAGATCTCGTCTCGTTTGTCTGTTCTACCATGCAACAGCGGATGCAGGTCTGTACGTTTTCCACCGGAAGAAAACGAGCCTGTGCCGACGAGCTTAGGCTTAGTGGCTTAGTGCAGGTAATACTTGCTAAAGCTTCATGCCTGCTCACCACAGCAGCTTGTGGGTTTTAGTTAGTCTGAAGTGGCATTGCAGGCCAGGCTCTCAGTGAGTTCTGAATCGGCGTTCCAGTCAACAGCAAGCGGTGCTGACAGGGCAGGCGCCTGCAAAGTTGCAAACGTCCAAGAGTCGTCTTAGTAACTCCTTAAAGCTGGCCCTGGCTTAAAGACTAAGAACTCAGACGGGAGACATGCCATGAGTAGAGTTGCACGGAGCTGTATGATGTAGATGCGATTGGCGAAGCATGTTCTCTGCCATGCCACCCGACATTACTTTCACATCGTACCCGTTGCTCTCGAAACTTTTGCATGCTGGTTCCAAAATTCCAAACTGAATGTACCGGCACCTCACCGCCTGGCTGCTGCGAGCATGGAAGTTCTTGATGCCTTGGATGTTAAAACAGGCGACGAACCAGTCGCGAGAGTGCAGGTTGCTTGCAGGAAGACTGCAAAGGCAGACTCAGATACAGAACGTGAAAGGTGTTTGTGGGGCAGGCCACGACAAGTGCCACCAGGCCACGATGTCCCTCGTCCACTACCACGCAGTACCAAGGATAGTGGCCCAGGAATGCGAAGCGGCTTGCCACAGTCTCATAGGTAGTGAGAACCAGGTTGATGTTGTGATTTTGGTCCGGCGACATAATGGCCTTCTCGGCAGCAGATAGGTTCCGCTCACTGCCGCGGTAGACAAGGTAGCGGAAGCCTTGCAAATCCAGGTGAATCTTCACTGCCCGATCCGGAGTTAGGCTGAAGAGACATATCAAGCGCGGCAATCGGATGCCGCAAAGCTGAGGCCGTGGCTTGGGACCCACTGCATGATCTCGTCAACCCAGTTTTGGAGAGTGCTCAGTGGCGCCACCACCAAGTGTGGTCCTGGCCAGGGCTTTTTGCATTGTGGCTTTCATGCTGGTCCAGGGGTCTCGATCACAACTGACAAGTCTCGGAGAGTGTGATGAAGAGTCTGCCAGATATGAACTTACCGGGTGAATTAAGCCTTGGCTGCCGCGGTTTTGACTTTCAAGGATGAGGATTCGCTCAGGCTCTGAGGTGCAGCGGGGCAAGCAAGTGAATTCGACAAGACACAGGCCGGGAAATTGCTGCATGCACATAGCCTACTGCCGTAGCCCTTCATACATGGATCAACATGACGCTTTCCTGCTTTCTAAAAATCCCTCTGCGTGTAAAAGCAGGTATATACATATGTATATGTAGAGAGAGAGAGAGAGAGAGAGAAAGAGAGAGGGAGAGTGTCTGTGTGTGTGTGTGTGTGCATGTGAGACCGACCGAGAGCGCTGGACTGAGATAGGGAGAGGGCGTGAGGAAGAACGATGGGAAAATGGAAAGGGAGTGGGAAAGGGGAGGAAAGAGGGAGAGGGACAGAGAAAAACGACGAAGATGCATGATGCACCTACTCGATCCTACTCCTGCATGCAAACGAACCCCGGCTCTAGCCAGTCCGTGCTGATCGCGGCTGTCGGACAGAAAAGCGAGCAGCGAAAGCGATTGAACCTCACCAGAGCGCATGAGGCATTTTCATTTGGTTTGCTTTCCTGCGCTGCAAAGTCGCATTTGTGGTTTTGGACTCACTGATCCAGCTTCTGAGGTGTCGGGCTTTCCATTGCTTGCGTTGCTGGAAGCAGTCAATATGAAATGGCCAACCTCAAGCTAAAATTGAGCCTACACCTATGTGTAAGATCGACTCATTCAAGGGGCAGTTTTTCCCAGGCCCATGTCATCTGCCAGGATGCCACTCATCCGATGATCCACCAACCTGCACCCCACACCCAGGGATCGAGTAGAGCCCTTCTGTGGTTTGCATTGAAAAGTGCAAAATGGGAGTTTCCGAAAATAACGGGTACCTTATATTGGGGTCCTTTTAATAAGGATCCCACTATTCAGGGTACTATATGAGGGTCCCCTATTTTCGGAAACCCAAATCGAGCCATTATGTTTGAGACCTCTGTTTGTTCGGAGCGAGCTGTGATCTTGAGAAAGCTCTGTGACTTCCTTGGAGGTTCTCTGCCCCCACAGCCTTGCCAACCAGCGCAGGCCAGCCAGTTGATGGGGCATCAATTGCCCATGCCTGGAAGCTTGACACTGGTCATTGATGTGCATGCAGGCCTCTTTGACTCTCACCACGAGACTGCGGAGGTGACCATGCTTGGTTCGGTTGATTGGCTCACTCCGAGAATGCAAGCTTCATGCGCACTGCAGGAAACTCTTACTGCATTTTACCGTTCACCGCATTCATTCAAGACAAGCAATCACTCAGGAACCACTCTATGGGGCCAGTCAAGCTGCTGCAGGGACCGTGGCTGTCCGACCTTCTCGTCCAACCTTGTGTGGGGACATCGCGTGACCAGGCTTTGAGCGCACGGTGCCGGATGACGACGGATGCTGCAAATACAAGAGTCGCGACGGCAACAAACCGGTGGCCACACCAACATGCTAACAAATGAGAAGCATGGAGCAACCCACGGCCCCTCATTCTGCCATTACTAAACCACTACCGCTACCACTACCACTACCACTACTACTCCTACTACTAATTACTACTACTACTACTCCTACTCCTACTACTACTACTACTACTACTACTACTACTCTACTGCTACTACTACGACTAGTGCTAGTCGGACTGCCGGAGAAGAACTAGATGCACAAGCTGCTGCCACATGCTGCGACATTCATGGGCTCGTGCTAGCCTGCGTATTGTAAGCGACACCGGTGGAAACCATGGTGCCAGCAGCACAAGCAGAAGAAGACCAGCTCGAGCACTTGTGCGCCTGCAGACGTTCTCGGACTATGTCGTCACCAAGACGCTTGGGCGACACTGGCCCGATCTCAGCCATAATGCGGTTGGTTTCTTCCAGGACTTCCTGTACCCGCTTGTCCTGTGGCGACCATGGACACAAGTCCAGTGAATCTAACATTCGCGGTTCGCAAGAGAGCCTGTCCTTCGTCTCCGACAGCAGAGCTTCATACTGCTCCACCTCGCGCTGCAGATAAACCCTTCCGAAGTGCTCCCAAATTACTGTCATAACTTCCGGAAATGTCTCCATCTGCCCTCTCGATCGCCGGCCGGACATGCTTTTCCCGCACAGAATCTATTGAAACTCCGAGGCCACCGGACTTCGGCGTTCAAACGAGAAAGTCGATTGAACTCTTGTGGTGAGATGCCAGTGCGTGTAGGCTGAAATGTGGAGAAAACCATCAGAGGACCGACATCAGTGACACAAACATGACACGGTGTCTTGGTTGGACTTTGCCTTTCCTGGGGCAGCCATGAAGCAGTACGACCACATGCAAGGCAATGCTTTGGCATGTGAGGGAACTTCTCGATCAAAGCTCGACGGGAGAGGTTAAGGCACACAAGCCTCTAGATACTAGACTCGTAGCTTGCGGAAAAGAGTCGGAAACGAATCATTGAGTTGGGTCTGCGACTGCGAGTTTTCAGGAGCACCTCCGTCCCCCTTTCCCGAGCCCAGGCCAGATTGCCGAAGCCCGGCCTGCCCAGACCGGAGCATCTCCAGTCGTTGCCGTGCCGCGCTCGCCCGCAGCTCCGCCGCCTACCAGTACGGCCCATGATGGGTTTAAATGCCCGTCAGAACTCTGGTGGTCATGTCTTCTTCTTAGCTAAGTGCTTGGGGATGCCGGGCTTCGGGCTACGGCAAAGGCTGCAGATTGTGCATCTTCGACATCTTAAATCTTTACAACATGTTAGATCACTACACGCAGCAGAAACTAGCTTGTCCATGCATCTGGACATGGACAGAAGCATACAGTATACGGTATACCAATACAGTCTCCACGCATAAGACTAAACCTTGGCAAGCGAAGCGTTCCGGCATCTCGAACGCTCTCGACTCTCGAAAACTCGGGCCTTTCGACGCAGCGCCGGCCCGAATTCCGCCGCCTCCTTGGCTAACCGCTTGAGGACTGCTCTTCGCGCCTGACGAAAAAGAGATAGGAGTTGATGAAAGCTTGGATTTGGAGGAGCCGGCTTCAACCCTCACACTGATAACCTGGCTCTGTAGGATCAGAGGCATCAGCTCCAATCCCTGAGGTTTGGATTTCAGACAAACAACAGCCGTAGAAATGCCCAAAATCATCGTCCGGACATGTAGCCCAACCATACCCTATCCATCTGAGTCTCGTACATCCTGACACGGGTAGACCATGCTAACGTGTGTAGAACATAAGTCCAGTCCCTGCACATGCGAAAGGCCACACTTCGGCACGAATCATACGGGGGCTCTTGGCCCAGTAAAGTAGCAGTAGTCTAAACATCGGCCGTGCCTGTCGCTTCAGCCAGAAAAGCTCGTGGGCCATAGGCACCTCCAGTTCGTGCATGTGAGAACTTGAGAACAATTCGACCACTAGTGATAATGGGCGCCAGAACAACACTCATGCACGACCTTGCGATGTGCCAGCCCTGTCTAAACATACCAGTCTGCATCGCAACCTTCGTCATATGACGGATGTTAAAACTGAAAGGTGCCAACACGTATCTTGCAGAGGTAGGTGATTACAGGGTTTGAATTGAAGGAATGTTTTCAGTGGTGCTGGTCATACCGACACCACGAACGACATGAAGACTGGCACAGTCTTTCCTGGTCATGACCTCAGCACAGGCGTCAACAGCATGAGATGAATAATACAGGCAGCACCGGCACCATCACTATACTAATGATACAGCCGGGTAAAGCCTGACATATGGAGCTTGAAGTATTGACATGTGGGGTCCAAGAACACGCTCCGGCAGCCAAATGCTAAAGGGCTAGGAAGCATTGTGAAGCACGCGCGTAACTATGAGATCAATAGCCTCGCTGAGCATAGTAATCGTGGTGGTAGCGCTACCCGTCCGGCAAAGCTTGACAAGAACAACAGAACCAATGCTGGTCATTGCAACAATGGAACTGGCAAATTTGGCCTGATGAAAATGGAAGAGCATGTAGAGGTGAGCTACGCACTGGCTACGCAGATATTAGCTAATAGTCACGGGACTATCACGTGCAGCGCTTGCAATGTGTAGGAATGTTCGCAGCATGAGTTGAACTTAAACAGTTTGGACGAGCATGCCACGCAACATGTAGTCAAATATCGCCTTCAACCGTCGGAGATGTCGGAGTCGCATTCAGCATGTGAACGTCGCGGGAAGGAGAACTAGCTTGAGGGTTTGACCTGCTGCTTACGAATCGTATGTGCCCGTGGGGCTGGGTCTACTTGCGGAAGGTTGTGAGCCCCGTGCCTCGGCGAGCAAGCGGCACCTGTCAGATGCAGCCACTGGAAGCCCTGACCGGACACCGGAACTGCCGCTTTGCTGCTGCCCCTGCCTGGCCGCGTAGCAAGCTCCATAAACTCGAGGCACTTGGCATTTCTCGGTCTCCTGACAGGAGATGAGACGGGGCAGCCGATTCGTGGCTCGACTGAAGTTCAATTATGCCTCGCCAGACGAGACGTCGATGGTGTCAAAGCTGTCATCGTTGAAGAAGGCCATGGGCGACAGAGATGGAAACCTTCGGTTCCGTGTCCTACCGGAGAGATGCTGAGAGTTCGGTCTTGGACCACTCACTTCTGCGGGAAGAAGGCACGGGTATGGACATCTGCGGAATTTACAATTTACAGAGTCAGTAGAAGCTTTCCAGCGTACATTCTGGTTCCGGCCAGAGAGGGGGCGTCTCGTGAGAGCCCACATGAGCCCATCGCAACCTCGGCCCGGCATTGACGAAGAACTTTGGGACCACTCGCATCCTGCGCAAGTTTCGAGACTGCCGATCTTCGCAGTTTTCGGGTGTTATGGTCACGGTTTCAGAGCGACAACGGATGTCAAGATATCCAACAAAAAACTGCTTGTTTGACAGGAGCACCAGGGGCTCATAATGCAACCTTGCTAACATGTTAACCGGCAGAGCAGCCTTCAAAAGTTGACTTAGGAGAAGCTTCTGGTACACCAAGTGTACTGTTCTTCCCATCCTTGAACTCCGCTAAACGTCGTCGCAGCCAGGCCATGCACCTCTCCATTGCAATGTCCGACCTTGCCACTCACATAATGCGCATAAGCTCTTCTGCACTGGAGCGGACGGCCAGTACTCACCAGCTTAGCAGGGCCAGGCCATGTCAGGCCGGGCCCCAGCAGCGCTAAGATAAGCTTGGTGCCAGGCAACGAAGGGTCTAGGCCTTTCAGGAAACTCGGTCGCGAAACAGTCAGTTCGGCCGCGCGATGTTGCTGTGGTCAACTGTCCTACAGCTTCTGCGACGTTTTGACACCTGTCGTGCGAGCCCTTGTGCGACAGTAGCGGTGGCTACCGCGCCATGATCACCAGAGCAGCAGAGCAGCAGAGGTCACAGTCGCTGAGTCGCTGAGTGTCGGGGGCATAAGTTCTCCAACGCCGAAGGCAGGCGACACGCTATGAATAACTGCAGAGCTAGTCTTTTGCACTTCAATCTGGTGCACCAAACACTGTTCCATTGCAACCTGGCACTATGTGATGAACAACTCAAGGGCAGTTTCAATCGGTGGGCACGGTTGCCTGCACCATGGCGGTAGTTCGAAAATTGCAGCTATCCAAGCAAACCAACATCTGCACTCCAAGACTCAAAGCGTCATGGTGTTTATCGGGGAGGGCCAAAGGCGGTGGCCTGCCATGGAAAACTTGAGCCGCCATCGGTCGCCCTCGTACCATGTCTCGAAGGCACGCCTGAGAACATGCGCAGAAATGCATAGTAACTGTGAAGTTCTGAAGCTTTATACGGTGCACGGCCGTTTAGATTTCTGGACTTCGCGAAACCGCCAAGACGTTCATCCCTCATCGGCGAGATTTGTAGTAACTGTTCTCTCAGCGATGGACTCAGCTGCTTTCTCGATGCGCTTCACCTAGGTCAGCTTTTGCAAGCGATCTATATGGTTGGATAGGGTTACTTTAGCGACGGAGCCATTTTATTCATGTTCTCCAAGTTTTGCGCAGGCAGCTAAAACCTTCACTTGCATGACGGAGTCATTGTGCTTGACACTTGCGTGTGCAATAGTTCTTCGCCACATGACCATGCCACCTCGACACAAGATCACTGAGCCCACGACCGTCCAGTACTCCTTGCCTCAGTCTATAAGGAAGCAGGGGCTTCTGCTCAAATGAGTCCCCGCACATGCTAAGCGTTTGCTGAGTGAAATGCTTTCCTCTGCCGTTGGCCTGCAGAGGCTCTGGGTCGGCTTGGCAGGGCTGGGAGTGCTAACAGCAACCCGAATGCTCCATCGAGCTTTGTACTACAGTTTGGCTCTCTGACTTGCCTGACAGAGGCAGCTTGGTCCATGCCCGGATTCACCTGCATGTGATGCTGCTTGCACATGCTTCACCAACTTTCTCTGCCTCGGTGTCGATGAACCAACGAGATGCAGCTCTGTCAGATCAGTATCCCATGGAAAATAGACGGCACTTGTTTTCTCTTTTGCACTGTGCCACCAAAATCAATAACGCACATGCAGTGCCACTCAGCAACCGCCATCATTTCAGTTCCAATGCAAAAAAAATCCAATGCTTTCAATCCCAGCTGGCAGAACACTCCCAGATTCAACAAGACTGCAGTATGGGATGTCTATGTTCTATTGATTCGCTCACGCATACTTGGCGTTTGCAGCCCCACCTCCAGCGTCTTTGCCTCATCAGAAGTAGAAACTCTTGAGAATTGGGCCGCACTGTTTACACAATACGAAGCCATGCACGCCACAGCTTCCGCTACCCAGAACCCAGCACCGGTGACATTATCCCATAAACAAACGGAGCAGTGCCTTGGCGTCCGAGAGCATCTTCCTTTCCATTTTACGACATACCTCGGGGCAGGAAGAAGTTTCTACCGATCTGGAAGAGCGCGCTGCAGTTGGCAAGGCAACAGTCGCATCACTCAACCCACAGGCCCCCGACCGATTGCAGCATCGAGGAAAGGTTGCGACCTAGCAAACAGGGCAGGGAATGACTACGCAAGCCAACAAACTATCCAACTGCAGATCTTGAGGTGGGCAGTGGTTGGGGATTTCGAGGATGTCTCAATGGCACAGTGTTTGGGCTCGCATAAAGGCGATGAAAGTCGGTTTGTAACAACGCCCGGCTTGGCGTAATTCCTTGCTTCTGAAGCACTCGAGAGTAGTGCATTTTTGCTGATAAGACCATCTTGCCTTCTTCGCCCCTGAGGCGCCAGCATTCTCCCCCTTGGGCCTCCACCAACTCTTCCACCTTCTGTAGAACCTTGCCACAAATGCAGGCATGGGTGTGTTTGGGAGATTTCTACCACAACCTGCACATCTACCCATCAGTCCTTGTTTGCTTCCCAGAACACATTACAACGCAACATACATGCGTTGGGGTTATCTCACACCAGCTGGTGAGAATACACATCAATGTCGGCAGACG